GGCACTAGCCAGTGCTGCTAAGATATCTTTCCCGCCTTCTGCATTTAATTAGCAACCATTTGTACTTATCTTGCATCTTCCACTCAGTCACCTCAAACTGGTCAATATCATTTTGAGCAGGAGAGAGACAGTCACGGTCCACAGAAACTTTCTCATCTGCTCATTACAGAGCCGAAAATGTGTGACCCATCATAGGGCATTGGGTGAAGATAACCGATATCTCATGTGGCTCTCCCTAGTCTGTCTGCAACCCCCAGGGTCACAAACAAGCTGCCTTCTGTGACTTGGTGAATTGCCTGGTGTGCTGTGTACACTGTTCTGAGATTCGATCGATAATTAATAAGCAAGGCACAATTGGGAAATAGTAAAGGAACGAAGTTCTTCAGCTCAGAGCTTTTAACAGCTTGCTCCAACATCCACAGCAGGGGATGTTGATGGCCTCAGTTCGTGGGGTTCTAAGGAAGTCCTGGGCCCTTCAAAGCTCTTCTGTTCCATGTCCCTTGGTGTGCTAGGTGCACCCACTTGCCTTTCTGCGCCTCTTCTGGCTTCCCTGCCTCAAAGTAATCTTGCCCTCCTATCACCCAGGACTTTTTGCACAATCATTTTCAATGGAAGGGAATCAAGAGACTTATGGCAACTTCTGGAAATGTCTATGCAGGGTTGGTAAAGATACCTTCTTCCTACCTTCTCTCAATCCCCTACTTTCCCTCAATTCAGATTACCAGAAAGCTTGCAAGCCCCATAATATTCTACATTTGCTGACATATTTGCTTGAAGGGAGCCGCAGTCTCTGTTGCTTAGTTTGCTGAGGCCTAACTCTCCTTGTTACTCCAGAAAGTGAGACTGGACCACAGCAGGAGGCAGACTCCCTGCCTTCAGTTACTTTTGTCTCTTTGACAGGTATGAAGATGACCAGCAGCTGCCTGGCCAGCTGCTGATTATGTAACCAACCAAGAGCAAAGGGGCCCTTAGTGAGATTTTGTGCCCAGGACCCCAGATTTCTAGCCACAGCATAACTCCTTGGAGGCTGCTAGAACAACCACTGGCAAGTAGGCTGTCCAGTGCTTCCTTTGGTTTCATAGACTTGTTGGAGCTGGACAATTGTTGGATCAAAGAAGATTCATGTTTCATAGCAATTTCCACGGCTACAGTATTGAGAAAAAACTCTTGAGGCCTCACCTTGTCTTGGCAGGAAAAAATGTTGTTTGGGGAGAATGGGGTGAAGAGGTGTGTAGGTTTTTAATTTTTTTAAATTAAAAAAAATATATATTTTAAACGCCTACAGCACCTGGTATTCCAAGGTGGTCTCCCATTCAAGTACTAACCAGGCCTAACCCTGCTTAGCTTCCGGGATCAGACGAGATTGGGCATGTTCAGGGTGGCATGGCTGTAGACAAAGGTTTTGAGGTACAGAGAAAAGGGAGCTATGAAGGTTTGTCACTGGCACAGAAGACCGGGGTGGGGGGACAGCATGAATGTTTCTATTTACCACTGCTGACCTTGGTCACCCCTCCCTTATCAAAGAATAACTAAAATCAAGGGAGACTGGAGTGATTTCCTCACTGTAATAGTCAGTTGGGACTAGAACCCAGGTTAGTCCCCAGTGACATATCCTGAGCCACAGACTAACCTCGTGTCATCTTTGCTTTTCCTTCTCTGAAATGAAGACCCTCCTACCCCATCCAGGGTGGGAAAAGCCTGGAACCATACCAGAGAACTGCAGGAGCCACTAGGAGAGGGCCAGACAACCATAATAGCTTGGAATTGCACTGGGTGGTGGCATTCCTCCCAGACACTCTGGACTTAGAGGGACAACCCTGTCTATTGTTTCAACTGCAGTTCCTTGGAGGTATGCCTGCCAAGTTCCACCCTCAGAGGCAAGAATGAAGAAACTAGGGTGAAAGAGCTTGGCCATGAACCGCACAGCCTAGTATAATGTCCAGAGGGAAGGTCATGTGCAAGTGTTACGGAATGTGGATTCTGGCTCGAGTTTGAGTCCTGTGACCTCAGGCTAGTCTCAGAAGATATCTTAAATAACAAATATTAAGTAGGCACTTAATATCTGTTAATCAGACACACAATTTTATTTTCCCTCTGGGTTTTTGCACATGCAAGTTCTTCTGCTTGGAACATTTCTATTCTTTCTCTCCTCATACACTGCCCACCTGATATTTTGGGGACTAAACTTAGACTTCAGGCCTTCATAGGAGGCATTCTCTTCCACCCCAAGGAGGTTAGGTACCCTTTTTCTGGATGTCTTTAGCACTTTGATCATATTCTGTCACTTAACCCACTGGACTACAGTGACCTGTCTCCTGGCCCAGAGTGTGAATTCCCCGAAGGCAAAGACCACAGATTATTCGTTTCTGATTCCTCTGTGCCTAGCACTTAGTAGGCACTCAAAGAATAAATGCTGGCTAACTTACTAAATCAATGAATTCTGTTCCCTCCTCTTTCATTTGTTGACAACAATAAAGAGCGGCAAGAGACAAGATGAACAAATAAAATCTCAGTTTTCAACACAGTGCCAAACAGAATGCTAATTTTTTTTTCAAAGTACTAAAATTCTAGTTTAAAACCAAGTCACCAGCATCGAGTTTTGGTTTTAAACACGGACATCAACTGTAAAAAGAAATCCCCTGAGAATAAACAGTGCCCTGCAGTGAGAACTCACTACCTACACAGCTTGGCTCCCCACCACATGCTCCCTCAAATTCCATCTGGCTAAGAGAATGGGTATGTGTCCAAGGACTTCACAGCTTCATTTCATTTCATGTTAGAAGCAGTCAGGTGAGAAAGCCATGATGACCAGGATGCTCTTTTATGAAAACTTCAGGATCCTGAAAAGGGGAGATGGAGAACAGTATTCTTACCATCTTCCCCAGGGTGGGGCTGCCCTTCCTATGAAGAGTAGAGACTTGGAGTCACTTGAACGACCTATAATCTCACCTTCTCTTCTGACCTATCTTATTCCTAGTTTTATCCTCTTCCTCATTCTCGAAAAATATTTGGGACGATTATCATTATTTATTTAGGTCTATGTCTATATCAAGGACTTTTAATAAAGGGACATTCTAGTTGTGTGATCTTGGACAAATGACTTTCAAGCTTCTTGAGCCTCGGTTCCCTTGTCTATAAGATGGGTATATCCATGACCAAACTGGGTTATTGTGAGTTTTAAATTCCATAACATATTTGGAGAACTTAGCCCAATGCCTGCCACACAGTATATCACAAATGAAAGCTGCTTTTACCACAAGACCCAGAGAATGCAAAATTCTGAAAGGGGACTTTCAGGAACAAAAGGAAAGAGAAAGACATTGGAGTAACTAGGAATTATTTGACAGAGAATTTGGAACTCTGCACAAGGGGCAATGGCCATGGGAACTTCTGAAATTTCTAGAATGTTTGTCACTCTCCTATGTTGTCATTTTCTCCTGTACATTCTTACTTTATTTAGAACAGCAGTTCAACTTTTTAAATGCAAAAGGAACATGTATATAGGCGAGTCCATTTTGGGGGGAAAAGAAACTCTAAGAGACGAGGGAAAAGGCTTAGTAGAGGAGGGAACAGCTAGAATGTTTGGGGGCCAACAGGCCTGAAGAGAGGGACACTCAAAATGTTGACATGAGAACAGAAGATCCCTGGAGGCTTTGTTCTGAGAAGTTCCCCAAACCCTCAGACCTGAGCAGACTATTCCTCGTCCCCTCCCTGCTGTTCCCAGAACTCTGGCCCACAGTGCCAGCATCACAAATCACTCCAGTTTGGGGAATGCTCTACTTGAATTCTGGGTAGTTCCATGACCCTACGTGCTGTAACCTGACCTATGTACCTAGTTATGAGGATGTTTAAAGGATTCTTTCTGTGACACTGTGGTTACTCTAAGTCTCCTAAGACATGACTACAAAGAAGAGAATCCCAGTCTCTGGCCTCAGTCCATACATGAACAAACCTGAATCTGGGTCAGAAGGGAAAACTGCAATTCTGGAGCAAAGGGAGAAGACTGTCTGCCTGACAGTCCATATCCACGGAGCAATGGTTTTTAACCCTGGTCTGGGCATCAGTTTTTAAACTCATTTGGAGAGTTTAAAAAAATTCAGATTTCAGGGCCATCCTAGACCTACTACGTGTTTTAGAGAGTGGTGCTTGGGAATATGTAGTTTCTAAAAGTGCCATAAGTGACTGAGGTGTGAAGTCCAGGTTGAATACAACGCTTCATGAAAGTATCTGAACTGTTTTGAACTGGGAAATTACTAGGGTTCCACATAAGGAGAACGAGACAGATGTCTTTCCTCCCTAAGTGGCACTTGTAACCAGTCTGTTCCAGTTTCCCTGGTCTCCAAGAGGAGGTGATCAGGAGGCAAATGCACTCAATTGCCTAAGCTTCCCAGACCTTGCCTCAGGGTCCCTGAACATCGGAGACACCTTCCTCATCACCACAGAACTCAATAAAAGGTGCACTTCTTACTGAAGTCAGATACAGATTTAGTAACATTTTGGAGCACCTGGTTTGTGGCAGGTCCTGCACCAGACACCTAAATCATAAGCCTGTGAAGAGGCACTACATAGTTCTTGTCTGGGCTGCACTCCTGGAAAAGAAGTGTTCATCAGAGCTTTACCAGCTCATTGTAGCAAGTCCTCCGGTGATTTATTACTTATGAGCAACATACAATTTGGGGCTTATTGACTGATGAGTCTTCTCAAAATTCTTTTAGTTTCAATGTTCTAATGGTGAGTGTGGCTAGGCTGAGTGCAAGACCTTGACTTTATCTGAGGTTTATCCCCTTGGGCTGTCAAAACATCCAGCTTGTCATCTATTCATTGGCGTCAATGGGGTATTAAAGTCTCCTACTATTAGTGTATTACTATTGATCTCTCCTTTTATGTATGTAGATGCTCCTATGTTTGGTGCATACATGTTTACTAGGGTTATGTCCTCTTGATTTATCAATCCCTTTATCATTATATAATGCCCTTTTTGTCTCTTTTTTTTTTTACGTGAAAATATGGAATGCTTCATGAATTTGTGTGCCATCCTTGTGCAGGGACCATGCTAATCTTCTTCGTATTATTCCAATTTAATGTATGTGCTAGCTACCGAAGCAAGCACTCTAGCTTGTACTTTAATCATGAAAATAATTCCGTTTGCCTATCCTCTGGAAAATAATCAAACTATTTGCTGGGAATCAAAGAGTTGTAAACAAGGGACTGCAGGAGAGTATGCAGATATTTTTGGTGGAGAGCATTAGATTGATCTCAGCTGATAGGCACTATGAGGTATGACTGTTATTGTCTTAATTTTATTTTATTATTTATTATTTTTATTTTTTTAAATTATTTATTCTTATGGTGACATTGGTTAACAAAATCCAGTAAGTTATTGTCTTAATTTTAAAGATGATGAAACCAAGGTTAAAAGATCCTCAGTGGCTTGCCGAACACACACACAGCTAAGACAGGAAGGGCAAGGATTTGACCCCAGGTCTTCTGATTTCCAGACCCATGCTTTCAACTTAGCTTCACTTCAGTGTCCCCACTAGCCCTTTTGATGGCTATACAGGCATACCTTGGAGATATTGCGGGTTCAGTTCCAGACCACCTCAATTAAGTGAGTATAGCAATAAAGCGAGTCATAATCTTTTTGCTAATATAGGGTCTTGCCTTCAATTTGTAAAATACTCAACATCTGTAAAGCGTGATAAAGCAAAGAGCAATAAAAACGAGGTATGTCTGTAGTTACTTACGTGCAGATTTATAATAGTTGACAATTCACATACTGTTTTTATCAGCCACATGCAAAAATCATTAAGATATAACAGAATTTTAGGAGGACATAATTATAAAAGTAATGAGGGCTCAGAGGGGTTGAGTGACTTGTTCAAGATAAAACAGCTAAGAGGCTGAGTCTGTACTTGACCATAGGTCTCTATTGGCTTCAAAACAGGAGCGCTTTTTAACTAATTAAAGGCACATAAACAGCACAGTGGAGAGGAAATTACATGAGAACAGGAATCAGAAGACATGGATTCCCATCCCCGTTCCAATCTTTACTGGCTATAGCACTTCAGACAAGTCCCTTGTCCTTTGTAAAATGGAAACGATGATCTCTGACCTACTTTACTGAGACGGGAAGATCCAAATGGATGCAAAAGTATTCTGAAATCCACTCCTCCACATCACCCCATAATAGAAGGTACGACCTCAGGCAGATCAGTCAGTCAGATCTGGATTCTGGATTCAAATTCTGACTCCGCCACTTACTGGCTGTGTGACTCTGGGGAAGCAATTTCACCTCTCTGATGCCTCAGTTTTCTCATCTGCAAAATAAGGCTAAATCAAGTCCGTATCCCCAAAGGTTATGACGATTAAATGAATGCACCCATTTACACAGGGACTGTCTTGACACAGTAGTCCATCAAAAAACGCCTGTCACTATTACCGTTATAATTGTGCCTCTCAGGTCTTCAATTTCTTGGAAGTACGTACTTTCTGAGTTACCAAACGTGCCCTGGGCTTCAGTTTCGCTTCCATTATTCTCTGCCTTCTTCCTCGGACCCGGTCCCTTCCTTCCCAGTCCCCCTTCTCCACAGCCCACCTTAAACTCTCCAGGAACCCCAGACCCCCTTTGCCCCGTTTCGGCGCCGTCTCTTACTCGATGGCCTTGGTTGGGTGCCCGTGGTGCTCGTAGACCAGCGCCTGGACCTGGGAGGGCTCGGCAGAAGCAGAGTAGGAGGCGGCCGCAGGCGAGCAGCGGCCCGCAGAGAGCAGCAGCCCCGGCCGCAGCCGGGCCGCGGTTCGCGACCAGCGCAGCGCGCAGCAGACCCACATGCTCGCTTCAGTCAACTCAGTGCGGGACGCCGGGGATACGTCATCACTCCGCGACCGCGCGCCTGCGGCCCGCCTCCCGCTCCGCCGCGTGACCAAGCCCCTTGCTCCTTCTAAAGGGAGCGCGATAAAGGAATTCCCCTTCCTCTGCTGCCCGCGCGGTGGCGCCTGGTGAGACTACGCGGGGAGCCAGTGATGAGCGGTGAAGGGCTGTGCGGGAGTCGAGATTTCCAGCTCGCCGAAGTTGATCTAACAAGGAGAGTCTGAGACTGACCTAAAGCTTTGTCTACGGTCTGCAATTTGGTGTTTGATTTGGGGGAAGACGTGCCTCGGTTTCGCCTTCCTACCGTTTATTGAGGCATTTAGGCCCTTTAAAGCAATGCCTCATTTAATCCCCACTTTCTTCTAATAGTATAGTGAGACAGAGCGTACTTTCCTCCACTGAGTAGAGTACGTGTAAACTGATGTGGAGGCTAGAGTACTGGGTTTAGAGTTAGAAGATTTAGGTTCACATCCCATCCCAGCTTCCTTGCTTGGCCACCTTGAGAAAGTGACTGAAACTTTGAGTCTGTTTTCTCATCGGTACAAAGGGGGAGAATATACCTCCTTCAGGACTGTTGTGAGGACTGCGTAGAACAACGGAATAATGTTATTGTGGACGCGAGAGCATCTTGTAAAATGCTAAGTGTGTTCAGATATAGGGAAGGGATCATAAGGAGGGCCTCCTCCCCAGATGATCACAGGGTAGAAGGGGATTAAGTGGGATGAAGTACTTTGTAAAAAGATGTAGCCCAGTAAAGACACTAGATCATATTTTTGGTGGCGTGAAGACATGAGCATAACTAAAACGCCAGATGAATGTTGTAGCATGACAGAGGGCACTGGAATCAAGGAGAGAGGCACTCTGGAATGGGGGTGGGATAGGGACTCTTAGAGGAGGTGCTGTTGGAGCCAGTCCTGTGACTCAAAATCTCCAATATGCATAAAACCCATCTCAGACTGAAGTTCCATCTCAGACCTACTGAATTAGAACCTTGGGGAGGGGTCCTAGAATGTATATTTCTTACAAGCTCTCAAGAACATTGTGATGCAGGTGGCCCAGGGAACAGGCTTTGAGAAACACGGAGCCAGAGCTTCCAAGGATAAAGAAGTTTCTTTCTCTGGGTTTTATTGACCCAAAGCTTGCCAGCTTAGAACCTTTCCTCTGAGGAAGAGAAGAAAGCAAAGTGCTGTGATGAAGGATCAGGGGCTTAATTCTGGCAAATCTAGATTTGAATCCTGGCTCTGTCACTTTCCAGCCATTTGGTTTGGACAAGTCACTTGGTCTCTCTGGGTCTCCATTTCCTTATCCTCAAAAATAAGGGAAATAATAATGTCTGTTTCAAGGCTGTGAGGATCAAGTGAAATATTTACTTCACTTGAAGCACTTAGCACAAGCATGCTTGGCACATGAAAGCATTTGATGAATATTATTAGGGGGTTATTGTGAAGATTAAATGAGAAATATCACATGAAAAAACCCAGACCAGGGTCTGGCTCATAGTATGTGCTCAGAAAGTTTTTGTTTTTATTGTAGAGAAAGTTGGTGTTCCATGGTGGGAGAAAGACTTAGTCCCACACTGGCTGGGTGTATCCTCCTGAGCATGCGCACACCTGCGCACGCGCACACACACACACACACACACTACCCAGTCCTGCTTATTTTCTATTTTCATGGTGACACAAACACAGGTCAACTTCTGTTGGAAGACATCCTAGGTGACATTGAGCTGTTGACCTTGTCTTCTCTACAAATATCTATGTTATCTTCTCTGAGGTCCCTGGGTAGCCAGGCCAGGATACTTAGAAAATCACCCAGTAGGTCTTCCTCCTTGGGCCTGGACTTAGTCCCCCATTCATCCCGATAGCCCTCACTTTTGTTCTAGGCCATCAGCTGTTATTTAAACTGTGTCGACAGCCTTCTTCCTAACTGAGATCCCCTCCTTTCTTTCTCCCTCCCCAATTCCTTCTTTTTCTGGCCTCCGGAATGACTTTTTTCCTAACGGAAAGAACAGACTTGTCTTTCCCTGGCTTGAAGTCCTTCTGTGATTCTCCAGTATTTAGGGAGAACCAGAAGCTACAGTTCTTTGTACAACACCATGAACAATTGATATATTAAACTTAAAATTGTAAGCAAAACTATGATTCTATACTAATTCTATCCTTCACTCATACTCGTGACATGTACTAAAGTTTTCAGAAAAATGTGTGGAGGAGAGACACCTTAAAACAAAAAAGTTATATATTTATTGTAATTAATTTTTCATCTTGCAAATTAGAAAACTATGATAATGGTCTTAATTCAATGGCAAACCCCCTCAACTTGAGGAACTCTTGGGTCCCCCTCGGGCAAGTTTGAGGTCACTGATCTAGGAGTTCAAGTCCAATGTCCTGAACTTGTATTCAGGACTTTTGCACTCTGACTCCCACACTGTCTTTATCTCCTGCTATTGGACCATGCATAGCTTATAATCCAACTGCACCGGAAACCCACCTTTCCCAATACTTCCATATCCTGTGCCTTTATTCAGTCTGCTCCTTCTGCCTAAAATGCTCTTCTTAGTCTTGCCTATCTGGGAAACTCCAGGTTCAGATATAATTTCTTTGATGTTGTTTTCCAATCCTTCAGGCTGAGTTAGCCCCTGGTGCCTCTGTTTTTTTTCTGGACTGGTGTTATGGCCTTTAGGACTCAGTCTCTTATTTATTTATGTGCCCGTTTCCCGCTCCAGGCAAGAGTAGAACCATGTTTGGTGTATCTCCATGATGCTGGCACCCGACGTGGGGCCTGACACAGGGTAGGTGTCATAAATATTCCATGAGTTGAAAGTAATTGAATTTCCTCATGGCTTGGTCCTGTTTGTGGTGCTGTCTCCTTTTTCTTAGATCTGGGTCATTCCAAACCAGGACTTTCCTTCTCTCTTCCCTCTTTTCTTTAAGATTATAGAAGTTTGTAGTCTTTTTCAAGTGAAGCAGAATGTTCTCTTTTCATCTGTCCACCTGTTCATTGTATTCTTTCTCCCTTCTTCAGTCTCTGCTCCATAGACTTCCCCTGCACAAAGAATGGAAGGGCGTGGAATCGGTCAGGTCTAGGTTTGAGTCCTGGACCCACCACTTACTAGCTTTGTGACCTTCAGCAAGTGCCTTATGCTCTCTGAACCTTGGTTTCCACATCCAAAAAATATGGAATCAATGGTAAAACCCTGTCACGAGGCTCCTGCAAGAGTCTTCTGCAAACGTCTTCTGCAAACAGCAGCATTTTGGATTTTGCCGTTCACCAGATTTCTCTCCTTGAGTTTCCTTTCTGGGTGGTCCTTTCTGTCTCTTCTCTGCTCAGCATCTGTCGACCTCCATTTCTTCCCCATCACCTTCGGTCTTTCTGTTTAATTCTCTGCCTCTGGTTCCTGCCTGCTATCTTTTCATCCCTTCTTGGCTCAGCCTGGAACTCATCAGTGCTCACAAGAGAGAAGACCTAGAACCCAGGAGCCTTCAGCCCTGCCTCTTCCAGACCCAGGACAACCTCAGTTATGCCAGCCTCAATATAGAGCCAGCTGGGGGAGGAGGCAGTGCACAGAGAAGGCCTAGACACACCTTGAATTCATAGGCTCTGTCCAATGCCACTGCTCATTAGTTAGACCCATTTGCTCATTGGTCTATACCTTCACAGCCTGTTCTCCATTTGGCTGCTTGAGGAACATTTTTTTTTTTTTAAATGAAAGAACAGAACCTTTTATTCTTCTGCTTAATGCTTCAGTGGCTTCCCACCACTCTTAGGATTTAACCCCAAATCTCATGGCTTCTTGTGTGACCTGCAAATCTTGCCAACCTCTCTATCTGCATTTGGCTCTTCTTTCCTCCCCACCCACTTCATTCCATCCGCCTTGGCCTCGCTGCTTCTCAGACCCATTGGCTCCTGCCTTTGCATGGTCTATCTTCTCTGTCTACAGTGTTCTTCCCAAGTGATTGCATGAGGCTAGGTCCTTCTCATGCTTCAGGTGTCAGCTCAAATGTCACCATGTCGCTTCCTCAGAGAATTGCTCTCAGATCACCTTAACTAAAGTAGACCCCCCCACCTCCAAATATTTATCATAATACTCCATTTCCTTTAGAATACACATCTCAGATTATAATGATATATTTATCTGCACATTTGCTATGAGTCTCTTCCACTAAAATGTAAGCTTCATGAAGGCAAGGCCAATGTCTATATTCTTTCATTCATTCATTCATTCATCCATCCATTCAATATTTATCGAGCACTAACTACATACCAGATACCAAGCACGGGGATACAAGACAGAGTACTTGCCCTTAGGAAGCTCATGTTCTAGAGGTGGAGACAAATAATGAATACATCATACAGTATATGCTCTATTTAAAACTGCCAGAATCTCCCTCCTTCACTCTTTCTCACCCCCATTTTTCTGGTATATCACTGTCTCATGTACCAGAGACAGTGGTTGATCACTGTTTCATAGACCAGAGAATTTGCTTTTTTTGATTGTTTATTGCTCTTGATTTACCACTGAAATGTAAGGTCTGTGAGGGTAGGGATTTTGTCTGTTATATATTTCCAGTTGGCTTATAGTAATTGTTGTATAGTAAAAGTTTCCAGTATTAGTTGATTTGTTCCAGGTGGAAGGCAGGTCTCAGCCTCAATTCAATTCAAGCCAGAAGACCTTGATTCAAATTTTGGTGCTGCAGCATAGTAATACGTAACTTTGGAAAAGTCATTCCTTTCTCTCGATTTCAATTTTCATAACTTTGTAATGGGAAAAATAATGGTGAGTATTAAATGACTTCATGTAGGTTAAGCACATAGAAGGTGTCTGGTCTTACCTAGTAATGGATAACTCGTTTGTGGTCATCATACAAGGGTTTATAAGGATAGAGGCCCAAATAATACTTAACCTGTGTAGCCAGAGGGTACACTAGAACCACTATGAGTTAGTGAGGGAGACAGACTTCATGGCATGAAAAAGAAGAACTTTCTAAAAGTTCATCATTGCA